TTAACGTGTCAAACAACACTTTCGCGTCGTCAACCTATCGCATTTTACAATACCACTGCCACAGTAAACCTGCAGATTAAGCGAATTTCAAATTGTTTGATTAAAGTTTTACTAAAATCCCACTTGGTATTATAAATGAGAAAGTTTGGATGCATGGATGGATGTATGGATGTATGTTTGTGAGAAGTGAGCGCAAAAAATACTGGTCGGATTGGGCTGAAATTTGGCATGATGATAGCTCACATTCCCGATTAACATATAGGCATATTCTTATTTCAAAAATCCTTTCGGGCTCCCCCCAGTGGCTCTGGAGTTTCCCATGTTAACCTTATGAGAAATGGAATTATTGAATCTTAACAGCTGTTTCAATTAAACAAGTTGGTTCTGTTCTATGATGTTCAATAGCATTAAAGTTACAAGGATTACCAACAGGGTGCAGCACTATTATTTCTTTTACATTTATGACAACAGCTAATTTGCAACCAAAAGGTGAGTGAGCCCAGCGAACGAACTTCAACCTGGAGGCGAGTTAGCGTAGCGAACGAGCTAACCTGAAGGCAAGTGAGCGCAGCGAACGAGCTCCAACCTTAAGGTGAGTGAGCGTAGCGAACGAGCTCTAACCTAAAGGTGAGTGAGCGTAGCGAACAAACTTCAACCAGGACGTGATTGAGCCATGCGAACGAGATAATCTTGAAAATTAAGAAGTTAAACGGGGCAAAGCCCGCGGGTTACAGCTAGTATTTCCATAAATAAGACACATTTATTCCCAATTTTAATGACATTAGATTTAACGAGTGCTTAGGTTTGCTGCTACGAGGAAGGTAAAACGTGTTTTTGTAGGATAAAATAAATAAATTTTCCAAACTTTATTAACATTTATCCATAAACAAGTAATCTAAAAAAATCATTTTCTTTAAATTACACTACTTTTGAATTTTCTCTGTGACCGTTAGGGATACAACAGCACTTCAATATACTAAATCATTTCATTTATTAAGCTCTACAAAATGGTTTAGAAAGAAATTGCAAAATCATTTGTTTTTAGGGTCAAAAATGGGAAAACCCCATTTTTGCCATTTTTACCCCCATAAAACCCCCCTAAACCCCTGTTCCCATGGTCCGAATATGCTGGTTCGCGAACTCGTTAGAATAAACGTATGTTTACACGTTTTCACCAAATTTAATCAAAATTGGATCATTTTGGCTCGATTTATCGCGCTAACGGAAACGAAAAAGTAAATCGGTTTCGGGTTTTTACCATGAGACCTACGGTGATAGCTTATTCCCTATAAGGGAAATTCGCTAAAAAACGTAGTAAGTTGTACAGATTTATAGTTTTAAACGTCCAGAATATTTTTGTTTGTGGGTGTAATGTATATTTAGTAGGCATATTGTGTTTTTTTTTTTAGTTTTACAAGTTGTAGTTTTCATGCTTATGGAGAATGAACGAAAACACTCATTACATTTTTTACGTGTCCCACCACAATGCGATTCCGTAAGTGACGAAATATTTACCGAAACCTCGGTTAAATTAATACTTTTCACATGTACAAATATTAACGAGTACATCAAAGTGAATTGCATACTGACAACACCAAAAGTCTTTGTTCATACTCAATTTGAAGTAAAATACCTTTTTTTACCTTTTTTAGATTTAGTCCATCTCTTCCATAACAGTGTATTTAGTAGATTAATACAATTACATACAGTGTAAGCACAATCCTTACATCTTAGTTACGATTTACGTAGTTATACACTAGTTGACAGCGTTAATGCAACAGTCTCGCACGTCGACAACTGAGAGATGAGGTGATCCTGTGATTGATCACTAGAGTGCACGGCTTATCCGGATATCCGATCATCCGACCCTCCCACCACTCAGCGATAGTGACTACACAACCTAGCAGTGTACAGGTAACTTTAGCAGCTGACTGTAGCCATGAAACCCACCATGTTCGTCAAAAAAAAATTTTCTCCAAGGGGCAAGGTTCTTTTGGAATTGCTGTACCTACTTCCGATGTGTTGTGATTTGGAATGCCTTTCGCAATAGAGAAGTGATGCTACTACATTTTCCAACCAATTTAATGAACTATAAACATTGGATAGAGTTGAAGGTAACGCTGATCCAGTCAATGTAAACAGGTTCGTCATAACAGTGAGGGTGTTGTGAGCGCCACACAGATGGTGTTGCCGGTAATGGTTGGATGTCGTGTGTGCCACACTGATGGACGATGACCCGCAGAAAAACTCACTCCAATTGTGGCAATTACTAATAATACTGTTGTAGCACTACGCTCTTATAATCCATACACAGCAGTGCATCAATTTACTACATTAATTAGGTAAATTCGTATCTTTACAATCAAACGTTCTCTGAATATCAAAATCTAGAAATCCAAATGTTATTGGCTGCAGATATCCAGATATCCAGTTACAACTCTCAAACGTGGTATAGCTAACTATGTATCTAGTGCGCCAAGTGTAACTCGAGACACACGCCCACACAACCCACCGCAGGCGAGAACTTTCAGTTTAATTACAGCGCTACCAGAAGTGAGTCGACTGTTTTAATTTTATAGCGTAAGTAAACAAAATTCAGAAAATCTTTTTATAACTAAAGTAAGAACAAGATGTACAATCCGAGTGCAAAGTATTTGTCGCACTTGAACTAAACTGTTCTAATCCTAAACGATTCTTAAGCATTCTCTTTACATGCCAATAACCTTGGAAGTCACACAAATAACTTTTTTTAATACAAGAATTGAAAAATGAAAATTAGTATGTTGAATAACTCTGTAATTGAGTACACTGTTAAATCCAAATGATTCACAATTCATTAAAAAAAAGCTGTAGTGTCCAATTATAGTATGGAGACTATAAAGTAAGACGGCAAGAAGGGGGAATATGGTGACACAAAAAATTATTGTGCCAAATTAATTACAGTGTTTAACCAACAAATACGGAGCCCTGCTGCTTCAAGTCCCAATCTACAGGGTGTCCCGGAACTCTCTACCAATATTTTAGGGCATTGTTCCTTGGTAGTTAACATACCTAAATATCATATTTAAATTGTCCGGAAGTCCTTAGTTACTCACACAGCCGCCATTTTGTTTTTTTAAGTTATTATTTTTTTTCTAAGGAATGGTGAAACATACGAAATTGAAACTTTGCACAAACATTTATGACAACTAGACAAAGCTACCAAAAAATTATGACGATTTTTGAAATTCATAAAACAAAATGGCGGCCATTTTAAATTTTGTTTCTTAAATAACTCGAAAACCGTTGATTTTACAAAAATTTTACAATAGTAACTTTTTTAAGGCAATTTTATTACAAATCGATTGACACCTTAATTTTGAAGATTGTACAAGTATTAACTGAGATATGGTAGTTTTAGTGATACGTAACCACTGGAGGTTAGTTGCAGCGCATGCTGAAAGCGGTCACGTATCACTAAAACTACCATATCTCAGTTAATACTTGTACAATCTTCAAAATTAAGGTGTCAATCGATTTGTAATAAAATTGCCTTAAAAAAGTTACTCTTGTAAAATTTTTGTAAAATCAACGGTTTTCGAGTTATTTAAGAAACAAAATTTAAAATGGCCGCCATTTTGTTTTATGAATTTCAAAAATCGTCATAATTTTTTTGTAGCTTTGTCTAGTTGTCATAAATGTTTGTGCAAAGTTTCAATTTCGTATGTTTCACCATTCCCTAGAAAAAAATTAATAACTTAAAAAAACAAAATGGCGGCTGTGTGAGTAACTAAGGACTTCCGGACAATTTAAATATGATATTTAGGTATGTTAACTACCCAGGAACAATGCCCTAAAATATTGGTAGAGAGTTCCGGGACACCCTGTATATTTGGTCCGCCGTCGTACAAAAGACTGGTATCCATAGTACTGTAAATTTAAAATGTTCACTGTGATAACATAATGTTCTCGCCATTTGACCATTCTGTCCATTACCACGGCACTGACAATAAATTCTACTTTCACAATTATCCATAGCCAGCGTAACTGTTAACTGACGACGACGACGACACTGCATAGGACTTGGGTACCTAGTCGATTTTTTTCAAATCACAAATTGTGTTGCAGAAAGTGTAATATCGACAAACAAACAAATTTGCAATTCCCTCGCACTATTTTTGCTATTGCACTACTGATCACGCATGAGTAAATCAATAAAAACAACTAGGGTTCGTAATTACATATACTAACCAACACAAGTGATTTGTCATAGGGACGATGATAATGTCGGACAACGATAAAAGTCAGACACCGCCAAAGTCTGACAACGATGAACCCAGACACTTTCAAAAGTGTTCCAGTTTAACGGTGCACGCCAACGACAAGCACGGAAACTTTATCTGTCATGGTTTATCGTCGTCCGACTTTGTCGTGGCCCCTTCTCACCCCATTGTAAATTTTGTTCCGTTTTTCGTGTCTACTTCATGTTGGTGACACTGATTACTAGTGTCAACGAAATTTTGTTTCTGTTAGGGCCATTGCATGATGTGTGCTTTACTATTCGGTTATATAACTAGGGGCAAGCTACTGTCTATGATTAGATAGTTTGATTTGGTTAAACGATAATTTAAATGACTGAAAAGTAACAAGAAATAAATTGTAAACAAAACACGACCTCTACAGTGCACAGGACGGAACTGACGATAAAATGATCTTCAGCTGATCCATAAGGATGAGAAATCTACTTTAAGGGAGAATGTTTTATCCATGGTAATAAGGCCCCACTAGAAAAACAGGCCATGCTGCAGCACGGGCAGCGCAATACTACTTCACAGTGGTGGATAGTTGTACTAAACTCTTACCATTGAAATCTTACAAAAAGCCAGCTTGTTTATTTACATAAAACATATGGGAATGGGAATGGCAATGGCAATTAATTTATCAATGAGATCTATGTGGCCTTGGATCTATCCACTAGTGTGACAGTAATAACCCACATGGTTTACAAAAACAATCTTTACCTTTAAATCCCGCTTCAGGCTCAGTCGGTGTGCTACACTCCTCCATCACGTCGTCGAAACTCTCCTTGGGCTCGTCAATCTGTAAACAGATGGAAAAATGTACTGAACAACGTCTGGAATCCTGAAGATATGTAGATTTGGAAAGAATTATCGCTATGTCCAAAATACGTATGTAGATAATACGGGTAAGCAGAAATATGACAAGAAGATTAAGATTAACATTATTGAAGGGTAGCCATATTAGATAAGAATTAATTCCAAGTTGTGAGTAATTCAGAAAACACCAATGTTTGACCCACTGTATACTGAGTAAAAGGTATTTGTTGCATAAAAGATTAAACTGTTTCCCTTGATGTTACACTGTATGTGTTCGCCACATCTCCTGGAGCCCACTGGAGACGCCCAGTCTAGCGGCTAGCGGTGGAGATGACCGGGCAGTGGTCACGTGTGTATGTGGTGGAGCCGCGCCACGCTGCTAACGCGTAACCAAACGAACATTCTTTGTAAGTTCTTGTCCATTGATGGAGATGACGAGACCGTGACGATCGATCGCTTCAATGGGCGCAGCGGCCTCATCATGTAGCTTCACCTACCTACCACCTACCGAAACTGTAAATAACTCTACAAGACGTACAAGGCGCAGCGGCCTCATCATGTAGCTTCACCTACCACCTACCGAAACTGTAAATAACTCTACAAGACGTACAAGGAGCATCGGGCTCATCATGTAGCTTCACCTACCACCTTACCGAAACTGTAAATAAATCTACAACTTGGACGTACAAGGCGCATCGGGCTCATCATGTAGCTTCACCTACCACCTACCGAAACTGTAAATAACTCTACAACTTAGACGTACAAGGCACATCGGGCTCATCATGTAGCTTCACCTACCACCTACCGAAACTGTAAATAACTCTACAACTAGACGTACAAGGCGCATCGGGCTCATCATGTAGCTTCACCTACCACCTACCGAAACTGTAAATAACTCTACAACTAGACGTACAAGGCGCATCGGGCTCATCATGTAGCTTCACCTACCACCTACCGAAACTGCAAATAACTCTACAACTTGGACGTACAAGGCGCATCGGGCTCATCATGTAGCTTCACCTACCACCTACCGAAACTGTAAATAACTCTACAACTTGGACGTACAAGGCGCATCGGGCTCATCATGTAGCTTCACCTACCACCTACCGAAACTGTAAATAACTCTACAACTTGTACATGGCGCATCGGGCTCATCATGTAGATCATCTACCATATACATACTTACTTCCTCTTTTATAGATATGGATTATAAGAAAGCTAGATTTTATGAAAATATGTCAAGACAACTTTTGTTTTGAATTTTAAATTTCGTACCATGACATAAAGTTAAAAATATCACATCGTAAAAAGCCTAGCTGAAAATCACGATTTTTAGTTGTATAGGTCAGTTTAGACATTTCGCGCCCACGCGTTTTAGACATTTCAACGCAATTATATAATTAAAATTCAATCCGTGTCTCGATAAAATGGCGAATTGTAAAGAATGGATAAGTGAATTACTGATTCCCACAGTTTTTCCATACGATATCTCAAACTGTAATAATAAAACGGCCGCATTTTCATACGTAACCCATTAGACTACTTCAACCAGTACCACCTACAACAAGGTACAGAATAATCAACATAACCCATTACCCACTTGGCCGACACGCAAAAACTCCAAACTCGCGGATTCCTGCGATGCGGCGGACGTAGGAAAGGAATCAATTAAAAATATGTGGCCAGCGGCTACTGACGAGTGACCAACATCAACATGTGCCTCACGTGCCCGTCTCGATGTGGCTCACGTATAAGGGACCAGCTGCCAAACTTGGACTAATAAATGTTTCATACATCTAAACAACTTGGCCCCGCTTTTTGCCCTTCGGTCAGGTGACGTCGCATCCTCTTTAGGATAATACGGCCATCATTTGTACAGCATCTGCCTACGCCGACCACAAAAACGCATCGCCCAATCTTGGTTTCTTGCCGGGGTTCGATACTTCGATACAGTTTTCAGTTTCGATTGCCCCCCTCGCCCCGCGGGAGTTTGTTTTGAGCGTCGTTTTTCAATTATCCGATTTTTTGTCGGGTGCAGACGGTTTATTGTAACGTATAGGACGGTATCGCCAACATCGATCGTCTTCGATTTACATACGTAACGATTTACAATTTATGGTAACAGGAAGGGGAAATAACTGTTGTTTATAGCATTAAACATGATCGCGGCTGTGAATAGAGACAGGAAATGTAAATCAACATTGCTCTTAGACGATAATTTGTTAGTACTTGATAAAAGTTACTACCTACCAATGATACTATATCTAAAATATCTTCCGAGAGACTAGTATCACCTTCTTTACCGAAACATCCTCGTTTAACATTTTGTCTCACTTATATATATAGGTCAGCGGGATAGAGCTTCTCCGGCTCGATTGTGGAGAACAACAAAACCACCCGGTAAGGAACTTGAAGGGCAATCAACTACTTTATTAATTGTGCTAATTACACGGTGTTTTACGGGAAAACGATTGTTTTGGATTTGAGTAAACATTTTAGTTTTTCTGCAACAAAAATGTTCAGTGCTGCAAAAATCGCAAGTGTTTAGCATACATGATGTATAAGAAAACGAATAGGGGGAAAAACTAAATTTCCCCGAAAAGTACAGCGCAAAAATGTAACTAAACAAACAACTATGGGAGGGATGAAAGATTTGGCCAATAACGCACGGAAAGGACGTGTACGGCAGCCCATCCTAGGGAAGGATTTTCAGCTAGTCGGAAATCGCAATTGTTTCACTTTTATACAGTATTTATTAGTCCACTATGTGTTTTTATCATAAAATATCTCCAGTATTTGACCGACTTTAGGTGAGTCGGTGGCGTCACCAAGGTAGCCAAGGCAGCGATGTCGTGGGTTCGGATCCTGGGCCCTGACGCTACTTTTTTACGTGAACCAAATATACCATTGACATTGGATACTGCAAGTATACATCTCATTTACGAGAGTCAGATGTAGCATTGACTGTAGAAGAATATTGGATTAATATGCTAGCTCCGTTCAATATGGCAAGCAGACAACTGCATCGTACGCCTAATCATTTAATTTTTCAAAATGAAACAACCTATGTGATCTTTACCCTGGTTGAACCTTGCAATGTTCAAACCGTCCAATTAAACAGTTAGAACCCCTCCTGCAGGTCCATAACCGCAACATCGTAGACCAGTTAATGCATACAAACAGCTCACTTCTGCACGTGAATCAATCATATTCGCTCGGTATGCAGGCCGGGTCTGGCGGTAATTAAGACCCTTATCTGCTATCTAGGGTCTAGGGTGACCGCGAGGTAAGACGACTGTGGTCTCAGCAAGAAACCATCCCCCCCTCGGAAAAACCACCCACCAGCTTAGACAACTTCGCTTGTGCTTTTGAAGCTGAATCCTACCTCTGTCGTCTTAGTTAAAGACTTGTCTACAAAGTGTTTGGTCGGATTTTGGTTTTACAAGTGTACCGAGTTTGGTTTGAGTCACATTGTTTGATTTACAAATTATTTACCTTTACGTAATGAAACGTTGGTTTTAGGGAGCGGGGCATATCCATAAAATCCAATGTATATTTGTTTGTCCGTTATGGACTCCGAAACCGCTCAACAGTTTGTAATGACATTTTCAGGCATTATTATGCATTATTCAAGGATGGTTTGTGTGAAGTTTGGTGCAGATCCGTCAAAAGGGCTCCGCTCCAGTGGCTCTGGAGTTTTCCATGTTAAACCTTATGAGTACTCATATTTAAATGGAATTAAAGAATCATAACAGCTTGTTCAAATAAACAATTTGATTCTGTGTAGTTCGATAGCAATAAAAAGTGAATAGGTTTACCAACATTAATTAATTATTAAATTAACCATTAATCAATAAACATTATTAATTTATTAATTTTATAGGTCTAAAGTATTATTTTTTTTGTTTTATTTATGACAACAGCTAATTTGCAACCAAAGACGAGTGAGCGTAGCGAACGAACTTCAACCTGGAGGCGAGTTAGCGTAGCGAACGAGCTAAAGTGAAGGCAAGTGAGCGCAGCGAACGAGCTTCAACCCAAAGGTGAGTGAGCGTAGCGAACGAACTTCAACCAGGACGTGATTGAGCCATGCGAACGAGCTCATCTTGAAAATGAACGAGCATTTGACATAAAACCACATTATGACAGGACGACGTCTGTCGGGCCAGCTAGTGCTTGAATAATTTTATTGCCGTCGGAATTGATAATCAAATCAAACACTATAATACAAAACGTTGAACAAATCTCTATATATACTTAATCAAAATCAATAAAAAACTATATAACTATAAAAAACTATAAAAAACAAGTGAATCCGTTTAATAACGAACGAAATATATATTTACACTTAAACTGCAATCATGCATTTTAACAAGTATGTGTTGTAAAATTATATTGATCGTATATGACGTCAAAACCTATGAAAATAATACAGTAAACATATGGCTTAGTGCGTAAAATCGTAGGGTAATCTTTTTGATAGTAATGTTATTCTACAAATTCTAAACAGAAACATTATAATTTTTTTTTAAAGCAGATATTTGTATTGAAATCGCTACGAAAATGGATTCAACATAACTTTGTTATTAGGTAGTTCGTAACTTATTTCTTAACTCACTAAAACACATTTTCGTACAAGAAGTTTAGTTAATTTTCCTATTACAAATAGGTAAACACAATCTTAGATGTACATAGAACTGTAATCTATTTTGAAAATACAATAAACATGTAACAATTATACGCGTTGTGATGCAACTGTGCACATACATTTTCAGTGGACATTTCGTATTTACCAATAACACAGAGGCGACCGCGGTCCTAGCGCTTGTAAAAACTAATACGATAAAAGGAGGGGGCGACATTGAAAAATGAATGGCCTAAAAGGATGAGGTTAGCATCGGTAGACCGGCAGTAAGACGCGTAAATCAAGAAATCGACATGAGGGAAAAGACGATAAATTAAAAGACGAGGTCGGATTTATGA